AAGAGCTGGTAGCTTTTTGTAAAAATATCACTATTAATATGATAATTGAACATGTATGGACTTTCCAGATAATTGCCAGTTGTTACGTTTAATGCTTAGAGTAGCATGTGTAAATTTAACAAACCCAAAAAACTCACGAAAAATCGTTCTCTTCATTGTTTTCATCGTCTCCCTCCATTATCGTCCTATATATTTTTTCACCCTTGACACCACTGTGAGCTTTTTGATCAGATGAGATTTAGATGGTAGTAACTCTGCAGGTTTGCTGAATTTAAAACCATTTATGAACAAGTGGAAAGCACTCCACACCCACTGTGGAGGACAGTGGAGGAGTTATGCTGGAGTGTGGCATCATAAAGTATTTGAAGCAGAGGTTTTTAATAAAAAGCTGGGGCCTAAAAAAATCAAATGTCATGTGACCAAATGAAAAGACACAACCTAAGCGTTCTTCCATGGTCATCTCAATCCCCAGAAGAGGGTATAAGGGAGGAGCATGGAAGTACTGTCATGGTGGCAAATGGGGTTGTAGTATTAATGCAAATGTTCTCAAATTTAACATGTAAGTTTTTCAGAAAAACATGTATTTTTTTTGTAAAATTGCCCTTTTCCCTATTAAAAAAAAATGTCCTCAAATTACATTAAAGTAAATCTGGCTTATCCTGCATCTGTAAGCATGAGCTCATCCTTCTGCCATAAGATACGGGGTTCCTTCCAGAATGTACAAACAGATAAACCCTGTTTATTTGTCAATTCTCACTGAAAACTACAGTTTTAATTGGGTGTTTATCAAAAGGCTTATTTTGAATCCGGGTAATGGGGTATCCCCTTTGATTGCACGCGGACTTACAGATCGAACCGAGCCTTTAATCTCTTCAGCAGCCATGCTGTGTGTGGGAGGTTATGTGTGAATGAAGGAAACCGCTGCCTTGTGAGGATCCAGGCCTGTGATGTTACAGGTTTCATGTGAAAGCAGGGCTAAAATAGGTGTCCCTCTGTCACCTGCCCACAGCTCATAGTCGATGTGTAGCAGCAACAGTGTTCAGCTCCACTGATGCGTTCGGTGAGGAGTCTGTTTTAAAATTTACATGACTTGTTTTGCAAGTAATCAACTGCTAAGTGTTTTTTTTTTCCATTGTGGACCAAACACATGCTGATTAATTCAGTCTTCTTTGAAAAAGCTTTAACTCCATAGAGACTGTTAGAGGAACAACTTGAATCTGTGCCATGTGTAAAACCTTGTATATTAAATCCTCCCATTTGTCTGTCTCCTACAGCTCTTGATGGCTGTCACTTACTTTTATTTGGATTTCAGCTGGTTTTCCTCAGTAAACAAGTAAGGGATAAACACAAATACACTGCTCAACAATATAAAGGGAGCACATAAACAGCACAATATAAGTTCAATCAAATCAAACTCCTGTGAAATCAAATCGTCCACTTAGGAAGCAACACTTATTGACAATCAATGTAACATGTTGTTGTACAAATGGAATACACAACACAAAGAAATGATGGGCAATTAGCAAGACACACTCAATGAAGGACTGGTTCTGCACGTGGGGACCATAGACCACTGCTTAGTACTTATGCTTTCTAGTTTATGTTTTGGTCACTTTTGAGTGTTGATGAAGTTTTCACACTTGTGGCAGCATGAGAATCTACAACCCACACAAGTGGCTCAGTTAGTGCAGTTCATCCAGGATGGCACATCAATGCAAGATGTAGCAAGAAGGCTTAATGTGTGTCTGTCAGAGTAGTGTTCAGAGGTAGGAGGTGCTACCATGAGACAGGCAAGCACACCAGGAGAAATGTCGGACACCATAAGAGGGCAACAATCCAGCAGGAGGACTGATACCTCTGCCTTTGTGTGAGTAGGAACAGGAGGAGCACTGCCAGATCCCTGCAATATGACCAAACAAAAATCTGTCTGCACAAATAGTTAGAAATGGACTCCATGAGGATGGTATGAGGGCCCAACATTCAAAGAAGGCCCAAGAACACCAGGATTGGCAAATTCACCACTGGCATGCTGTGCTTTTCACAGATGAAAGCAGGCTCTAACATGTGAAGACATGACAGACAAGACATGGATCTCCTCCCAGATCTGGACTAAAGCAACCCCCACCCACACACACACAAACCCGTTCCCCAGGCCTGATTTAGATCAGGCCTGGGGAACGCCACGACGCAATACAGAGTATCCAGGAGTTGTTGGATGTTTTAGTCCAGGTCTGGGAGGAGATCCCTCAGGAGAACATCCGCCACCTCCTATGGGGCATGTCCAGGTGTTGTAGGGAGCTCATACAGGCACAAGCAGGCCCTACATAATACTGAGCCTCATTTTAATCTGTTTTAAGGACATTACATCAAAGTTAGACCAGAATGCAGTTTGTTTTCCGACTTTAATTTTGTGTCTGACACCAACGCCTCCATTGGTTAACAAATTTGATTTACGTTGAAACTGTTTTGTGTGAATTTGTTCTCAACACATTCAGCTTTGTACAGAACAAAGTATTCAATGAGAATTTTTTTAAGTCTTTCAGATAGTCTTTCGGAAATATAATGTTATTTGAGTGTTCACTTTATTTTTTTGATAAGTGTAAGTTACCAGACCTAAAAACCCATCAAAAAATCTGATTTATATAATGAAAATGTTGCAGATTAGAAATTCAGTCACAGTTTACCAATAAATTCAGTGTAAAATGTGATCTTTGCAAACTTCTCTGTGATGTGTTGACACAACAGTGACTCACTCACTCAGGAGTACAGTAGGAGCCTGTTTTATATCTGAGTGATTCAGAGGTTAGAGTTAATAGGCTCCTAATGCCACAAAAACAAAAAACAGTCATATTTGGAAAGGGTGGAGAGAATAAAATCAGCCAACTGTGATAAAACTATGATAAAAACATACATAGAAAGGACTGTTTATTGGGTTTTAAAAAAAATGTGAAGGATTTTTTTTTTTACTACATTATATCTCAGTAGCGTGTTCGTCTTTTGAACAAATTTAGCTCAATCTGTCCTCACATCAACACAAGCTTTTCATTATGCTGCCACCACCACATTTCCCCTTAGGGGTAATGCAATCAGGGAGGTGTTCAGCATATTGCTTTGCATGTAGACCACCAAGATTCAGTCCTGACAAGAGTCTTCTTCTGCTTGTTTGCTGTTCTCTGCAGAGGGTGCCTCTCACAGCTCTCTTCCAACCACAGCTTTCCCTTTACAGGTTCAAATGGGGCCAATTTGCAGATGGAACAATAAATTGACAAATCTTCCCCACTTAGCTGTTGATCTCTGCAGCCTCTTCAGAGTGACTGTGAGTTGCTTGGCTGCTTCTCTGATCTATACTGTCTTTGTCAGACATGCACATTTAAGAAGACTTGCCAGGTTTTCTAATTTGACAGAATGTATTTAAAATGATGGAATGAATAGACATCTGCGAGGTAAAATCTTTTCCTATTTATTATAACTTAACCTAGCTTTAACCTAAACCACAACCTCATCCCTGTCATGAACCCTTGGGTTTAGACTGAGATTAAATTACACACAGAAGGGCTCTGTTTACAAGGTAGGAGACTTCGGAAGGCAGTTGTTTACACTCTGGTAATGGGCATTGAACTTTATTTTTACAAAGTATTTTCTGTATGCAAACTTAATTGAAAGCCACATTTCCTGGATAACAGACTAAACTGGACATGAAAATGTGAGGGGGTCCACAAGAAGGCTGTGGTTTCTGAGGAAGCTCAGATCCTTTGCTGATATTTTCTATAAATCAGTTGTGGGCAGCGTGACTGCTTCTGCCATTATCTGTACGGTTTGCAGCATCAAAGCAAATGATTTGGGGAGGCTTAACAAGCTGATAAAGAAAGCTTAGTTAGAGGCCTCCACCAACCTGCTGTAAGACAGACAGATACAGGAGATTCTCCCTGCCTACATCTATTAACATCTACAACAACTCGTTAAAGAAACCTCTGCAAGAACTTCAACAACATATGATTGAATGCATCACTTGCTTTCAATTCACAATTTGACAGTACTTTGAAATGTGAATTTGTGTCTTGTAAAAGTTTTCTGACAGAGTCTCTTAATTTTTTTTGTGTATGATAGCCTGTTATTTCAATATACAGAAGATACCAGACAATTTTCGAAGGTTTCCAAGGTGTCTGTGAGAGGAAAAGGCCTCACAGCATTACACGTCGTCCTTATCGCAGAGTATAGATGGGACAGTGAAACTACTGAGTTAATTATTTTTTTTCAGCAACAATTCATGTGCATTTCTTTTACAAAGATCTGAAAGCATTTTTTTACCAAATGACAGGAAAGTGTGATTAACCAGAAATAGGATGTACTATAGCTGAGTATCTGCTCTTCTGATTTAAAAAAAAAAGCCTTGCTGGTTTTGTTTTTTCCTTCTGTAACACTCCTTTCTTGACCAATCCAAACCTTACCACTTGTTTCTGATTGAATAATTATTTATTAATAATAATAAATATTTTTTTAAGATATTATTATAAAAAAATTAAATTAAATAAAAAAAAAACAACAACAAAAAAACTATGCACTCTCTAACACTTTATTCTGTATATAAAAAAAGTGGAAAAATGTGATTTATTTTTTCACTGTTGAGTCCCCAAATATAATATTTTTTCCATGTAATATATAAAAACATCGAAATGTTATAGTGGGTTCCTTTTAAAATGAATGATATCGAAGTAGATTTATTCCACTTCATTGTTGAATAATGTTCCATAGTATGCTCACAATCATGTCAAATATTAGGTCAACAATGATAAAGGGATCGCTGGTTAGAAGAAAACAATTTAATTCAGTGACGATTTTTTTCTGCCTTTTAAATCGCAACAAGAAACGAACAGTAAAAGAAAAGTTATAATTTTCCGCCCTCTAGTGGTTACTTTAAAGTGTAGCAGCTTGTTGGCCGTTTGTATAACTCAATTTAACGTCCGCCTACCAGAACGCAGCTTATTGGTCAGCCGTTTCAATGGAGGCATTCAATTGGTCCAGACGTCTCTCTCGCAAGTGAACCCGGAAGACAATAAATACAGTGGAATTGTATAAATTACCTACAGTCTGCAGCAGGTAAAGCTTTAAATACGCCCTTGAATAAATTACAATGTGGCAAAAAGAGTGTTCAAATAAGGACGAGTAGTTTTATAAGCATGAATAAAATGTTTTGTTTGAACTGTCCTTAGAAATGCCGACATCCCCTGTGAAAACTCGGATCCCCCTGACCAGCTTCGGTCATCTCATCACAGAGGTGAAGGTAAGATGCTCACATATATAAAACCAGCATTCATTTAAGACAAAACAAGTTCACCTAATAGTCTAAAGTTACTGGTGTGTTTAAATAAATTGGAATGACATCTAAAAATAGCCAATTTTAGTGAATAAAAGATAAAATCTTCATTATGCCCAGAATGCCTTTGAGAAACTATTTATTATAGCTTTTAGAGAAAGAAAAATAATGTTTCACTTTGAGAAAACTAGACTAATTCATTGGGATTTGATTATAGGAGAAATGCTTTGCAACGAGCAAGGTATTCTGTACACAATCATCAAAAAACTGCTTTTCACAAGAATGGTAAAACAATAAAAGGCGACTACTTAACTCCCAGCTGTTAAGATGCTTGATCAAATGTTATGGAAAGATTAGTGGAAGGAAAAACTGTGTTAAATAGGTTCATAAAGAACAGTGATAACCTCAGCTTAGAGAGTTTTGATTAAAGCCCATGTAAGTCGCAGGAGTCAGGGCTTTAAGAGCCTTCACACTGATTTGATGACTGTACTCGGTTGGCCTAGAAAAGTCAGCAGATCATCTAAGATGTGTGTAAGATTTAAGAAGAAAACAAACAGACATCAAAGTGGTCCATTATGGTAAAGCTGTCATTTCATTCGGAAACCAAAGCCCCAGAGTCTGGAGGAGAAATGGAGAGGTACAGAAACCCTGTTGCTCAAAGTCAAGTGGGAAGTTTCCAAAGTCCGCAATAATTTAGGGCCAGGTGGGTTTGATGAGATCCACAATAACAGGAATAATTTACAAGGACACCATGTCACAGCTGATATTTCTGCAATAAACTTTTCATCTAGCTCTTACTCATAGAAAACATATTAATTGTGCAGGAATAAGGTCTTAGCTCTGTTACACTTGTAGCCAAGTAATCGACATTTCGTTGTCAAGATTCACCTTGTGTTTTTATATGCAATGACAATAAAGGAAGTCTAAGTCTAAACATTAAGTCAGAATGATCCATCCATCCATCCATCCATCCATCCATCCATCCATCCATCCATCCATCCATCCATCCATCCATCCTTCCAGGTCGCCGGGTCGCGGAGGCTAAACAGAGATTTACAGACCTCCTAATCCACACACACCTTCTCCAGCTGCTCTGGAGGGACCCTGAGGTGACACCAGGCCAGCTGAGAGATATAGCCTCTTCAGCGTGTCCTGGGCCTTCCACAAGGTCACAATGAACAGTTAATAATAATAATAATGGTCCGAATCCGTGGTGTCTAAAGTACACACATTTGTTACTTAAGTAGAAGTATAGATACTACAGTTTTAAAACACTCTGGTAAAAGTTGAAGTATCAACTTGACCTCTTTACTCAAGTAAAAGTGAAAAAGCATGTGCTCCAAAAACTACTTTAAAGTATAAAAGTATAAAGTAACCTTTAAAATAACAGCCAGATGTCACTATATAAATTGAAAGCTCAATTTTTCAACTATTTCGAAAAATTCTTTGAGATAGGGCCAAGGGTGAGGGAGGTCTTGTTGGTCTCCATCTCCCGATACGCTCTCGCCTGTGTCCGACCTTTCAGACATTTCAACATCTTTTTCTGAATGCGACATTGTAGCATAGCAGTTTGAAGAACACCTGCTTGCTTCTGATTATTTCCTTTGGCGGCAGCACAAATTTAACGAATAGCTAACCAATGAGTGTTTGCGTTATCCAATCACCCTAGTTTTCACTAGATGTGGATAGCGCCAATGATCTGCATTGGATGGAGCACATGATGTGAAATAAATATTTATAAACATAAAACTGAAGCCAAGAGTAACAAGTAACGTTTGTTTTAAAAACGTCAGGAATAGAAAGTACAGATACTTGTGTTTTAGAAGTAGGAAGAAAAATAAGTAATGGAGTAAAGTATAGAAACCTAAAAAGTGTACTTAAGTACAGTAATTATTTGTACTTCGTTACTTGACACCTCTGGTCAGAGTCATATCTGAAGAGCTGCAGCTGTTCAGATATAAATATAAATACATATATTTTCCAATAGAGGGCAGCAAAATCTCTTTTCCCCAGGAGTGAAAGCAAGTCGGTGCTAATTGAATGTAAGGGAGGGAGTTACTCTCTGCAGCATGCAGCAATTCAAGCCTTTAAAGTGATCAAGTTGCATTTAGTTGCCCTAAACTTCATTAGGTCTGCAGAAGACTTGCATCCGATGGAGCTCTGGTAGGGGTAGTTCTCTTGCTGAGGGCAAGTTTAAACAATTCAAATAATTTTTAGCAAGTTTAAAAGTGGTAAAAATATATTACAGTATTCTTACCCCTTTGACTGTTTACCAATCTTTATTTTATCTGCTTTTATGTATTTCAAACCCTTTTATAAGCGCACATTTAAAAATTATTGTATGCATCTGTTACCCTGATGCCCTTAAGAATACATCCAGATATTTTTTAAACAGATATTTTAAAAGTCGCCTTAGTCTACTTCAATGTGAACACATCCTATCTTTGAAGGTCTGTTAGAGAATATTAGGAGACAAGAAGCATCATGAAGACCAGGTTACATAATAGTAGGGTCACAGGTGAAGATGAATGCAGTTAAAATCAGAGAAATCCTGCAGGAAATTTGCCCGATGCTACAAAATACTTCAAGCTGTGGCAGAGGTTTGACTTCTAGCATCCGGGATTAGATCACAGCAGATTTCTGTGTTGAAATGGTCCATTCAGAATTCAGCCCTAAATAGAACGTGTGCTAGCAGCATCATGCTGCAGAGACACTGACGCTGGGTTTAGAGACAATATGCAGAATAAGCAATCATTCTGATACACCCTGGAAGTTCTGAGTGGAAACATTTTAAATGACCTGGTTTTGGTGAATTTTGGATTAATTTGTTCACATCTGAGAAATAATCATTTTGTTTTAGAAAATGGATCTTAGAGGTTTTGATAAACCACAGATTAAAAAAAATGGGTGAAGGCTACAGTAAAGCTGGTCTCATTATATTGTTCAGACTAAACAGCGGCGTAGCAGAGATTGCTCAGTGAGGTCTCCGAATCAAAAAGCTTGACATCAAGACTGTCCTCTAGAACAGCGTGTTAAAATATGTAATATCCTGTCCAGTCCGCTCAGAGGTGCCATACATTAAGCTGCCTCATTTGACCTTTATTAGCTCAGGAACAGGACGATAAGATGCTAAAAAGACACAACCTTCTGTTTGATGGTCTAGTTTGGAGCCAGAAAAGAGCCTCTGAGCTACAGCCAGCAGCAGCAGAGGAATATGATTAATCTTCTCTTCTAATTACAATTTATATACCCTGTGACATGTTGCTTTCACATTCATTTTGACGCGGCGACTGCTTGGCAGCAAGCCCTTCTGGATGCAGGAAATGGCCTTGTTACTTCTTTTATTCTTGTGGCTTTGTTTTCTTTTCTTTGCTCAAGTTTTAACTTTTGATTGCATTTTAGATTTTTTTTTTTCTTTTTTTAGTCGTCATTGATAATTGTCATTATTTATCTCTTAATCCTGGAATGTGTAAATGCTTTTATGCATGTGTGTTTTGATGTTTTTCTGTGTTTCAGAAGCAGCTGTTTGGAATGGAATCGCCTTCGCCTGTGCAGCTGACCGGTTGGAGGAAACACTTCAATAGCTACACACTGCAGGGACGCAGAAATGTACGTAACGCAACTAAACGCAACTCTAACACCAAAACAAATACGCAATGAAAGAGTTTTAGTGTACCTTGAAAATGCTCACGTTTTCTCACACTATAAACACGAACCTTTATTTATTTATTTATTGACCAATAGGAACAGTGATTACTTGCAAAGGGACGCACATCTGCAAAGTAAGGCGTTCATTTACATCCAACCTTTCTATGTAGATCATAGAAAGGGTATTTTTGCCCTTAAAATAAGATATTTAGATATTATGTACTCAATAATACAATAATTTTCTTTTTATTTTAAATGCATTATCTTGTTCCAGTGGCAAAGTGTCTCACCTTTTCAGTTAAAGAAAAAAAATGCACTTATTTTAACTAAAATTGACTTACTCAGATGTATTCCTTTATTACTGTTAAATATGACTGCTGGCCTTCTGCTCTAATAGTTAATTCCTGGAAATGTAAAGGGAAAACAATGCTAACTTCTCCAATTGGTTAAAATAAAAGAGAAGCTAGTTTGTTGTAAATCCTTCCACCATTAGCCAAACTATTGCAATCAAGCTAACTGCACAGAAACCCGTCTTTTTAGCAGAGAACCAATGATTGTCTACGAAACACAAACCACATTTTCTGAATTGTAAACCAATGACAATAGACTTGGATTCAAAAGCATCCTGATTCCTTAATGTAGACTTAAAGTTGAAGCCGTCAAAACACAGAGTTCTTTGTCCAACTTCTAAGGCAACATTTTTCAGTGACTGAGGGAATCCATGGTAACAAGGAGAACACAGACATGATGGATTGTTAACCGTTTTCTCTTAAGATTTCCTTGTTTTGTTGGTTCTTTTTGCCTCGATCTTTACCTATCTTCACATCAACACTCCAGGTTTTTGCCAGCCTTAATGGGGGAAAGCTTTTCTGTCACATTCCTTCACAAACGCGTGTAGTTTATATAATAAACTACACATGATTCCCCAGTGCATGTTGCTGCCACCACCATGACTCACCATTGGAATGGTTTGCTCAGGTGGTTCAATGTAATTTTGGTCCCGTCTAACCAGAGCACCTTCTTCCTCTTTTTTTTTTTTTTTTTTTTTTCCTAAATAAGCAATGTTCCATAATCGCAGAATATTGCTCAACACAAGTGCATGTTAAATAACAAAAGCGTAAAAAAAATCCTGACATAATCTTTTTTTCCACTACACAATAATATACCACTTTAATGTAATCACAACTAAAATGTGTAATAAGATATTAATAGTTCTGCATGTTACTGTTTAAAGAATATTCTTTTTCTCTTGCAGTGCGTCTTGGCTACGTATGGGATCTTGGGGTCCTTGGCTGCTGCTTACCTGATGAACAAAAAGCACCAAGATGGAAAACAGACGCATTCTGCTTCCATGCATTAAAGCTTCTCCTGTTCAACTGTTATTTATTAAAGGAAACCACATCCTGGCGTCTCTCAGCCGTTAGCTGAATGTTGCATGTTAATAAAAGCTGCATTCATGCCTTTCTGGTTATTGTGTTATTGAATTTAGCCTGAACAGGACAACATTTAGTGAGTTTGTTCAGTTTCATTCTTTTTGACGTGATGCTCATCTCCTACAATTACTCTGCAGCTCAGGATTGTATTCTCTATTTTCTCATGTCTTTGTAACGCTGTTGCATAAGAAAAGTTGTTGAGCCAAAAAGAAACTGATAGTAAGTTTATCCTATAGAGCTGTGCTCATGTTCTGCAGACTTGCAAAATGCAATCTTATCTAAGGTTTGAGCATATTGTTAAATGTTTCTTGTGTATTTTTCCCTATTATGAAAAATGTCATGCCCTTTACTCATCTGGAAACTGGTCCTGAGGAACAAAAGAGAAGAATCACTGGCCTCAGAGTGTATTTCTCAGTAACTGAGAGGAAATCGACTAAAGAACGTATTATAGACAACAAAAAAAACACTTAAAAGGTCAAAACGGAAGGCTCCTGTACCCGATCACCTACATTCAAACCACAGCCTTAAATTTTTTTTTTCTTTCTATGCAGATTTGTTACCAGATGTTTGCCTTTCATTGGACCAAAAGCATGAGCTTGAACAGAAAGTTAGACGTGAAGGAGATTGTTATAACCCCAATAGATTTTAGAGGATATTCTGCTGCATTTATAATGACTGACTGAGATATAAAATACATACCACTGATGACCTTACAACATTACCGCTTGAGTTTAGTTTTTTTCATTACTGAAATTGTTTTTAGTTTTAAAAAGTATCTGAAATTTTGTTTTTAGTCATTCCTAGTTCCCCACTCACTGAATGAAATCATTTCCTTTAGCCCTAGAGTACCATCTGTATTCGCACACCTGTTTCCATCCTGTTGCAGACTGTGGTTTAAGAGAAAGCATATATTTTACTTTGTACAGTGGTGGAACTGCAAAAAGAAAGACTGGACTTTATAATCCAGCCTGCATGGTGTTTGCATGTTCTCTCTGCACATAAACAGTTCCCCTTATGGTACTCTAACTGTCCCTAGATGCGAGCCTGTGTCTCTGTGATGAATGGGGACCTGTCCAGGGTGTACCCTTCCTCTCACCCAACGAGACACCAGGGCATAGACAGCAGATGGGTGGTTTTACATTACCTGCAGCTTCCACTCTGTCAATATTTATGCAGCAATAATTAGGCCAAACTGGAAATGTCAACAACAAATAAGCAACATAACTATATTATCAATACTTCCATATCAGATTTTCTCATAGAACACAATATCTTATTCTTCAAAGCCTCAGTTTGCATGCTGAAATGTTGAAGTTAATGGTTTCATAATCAGAAGATGACCAAACCAATAAGGTTTGGTTAACCAGTATCAGTTTTTTTGTCTCTGTGGAACAGGAGGTGGGAATTGAGTTTGAAAAGCTTCATCTGAGTGAATAAGGAAACACAAACACTTCAGACCTACTGTCAAGCAAGGTGTTGGAGGTGTGATGATGATGGTCTTCGTAACCACACGAACCCTAGCAGTTTGTTTTAAGTGAGCTGATCATGAACTTCTCTGTATTTTGTAGTTAAATGAGGGCTGAACCTCGGTGGGAAATCTTGGTCTTCAACAAGTAGATTTAAAACACAACAGGAAATCTGTAGAATGGCTGAAAAAGAAGAGAATCAAGATGTTGCAGTGGCCTAGTCAAAGTCTAGAACTAGAGCTGGCTGAAACATGGGTTGTTTCAGTCAGACAGGGGCCAATGGGGGCCAGTGCCCCTGTAGATCATATCCTGGCCCCTGGGACGGCCCCTGTACTGAAGACATAATACTAAAAGAAATTCTAATGATGCTATGTGCTGGAACAGACATGGTTACTGATAGGTCCTTTGGATCTATTTAAATTTTTTTTCTTTACAAATTCTGTTTGACTGATTATTTAAAAACAATAACATGATAGCTTCAGTGGTATTGAGATAGGATCCCAGTTTTCATCTGCTAAATGTTTTTAAAAAATAAAAATAAAAAATACTATAATTTTTTTCCATCCATCCTTTTTCTGACATGCTTAATCTCAAGCGGGGTCAAAAGTGATGCTGGTGCCTATCTCCAGCTGCCTCCGGGCGAGAGGCAGGGTACACCCTGGACAGGTCGCCAGTCCTTCACAAGGCAACACAGAGATGAACAGGACAAAAAACCATTCACTCACACCTAAGGAGAATTTAAAGTAGCCAATTAACCTAACAGTCATGTTTTTGGGCTGTGGGCGGAAGCCAGAGAGAACCCCACGCATGCTCAGGGAGAGCATGCAAACTCTATGCAGAAAGACCCCAGGCCAGGAATCAAACCCAGAACCTTCTTGCTGCAAGGCATCAGTGCCACCCTCTGCTCCACTGAGCAGCACCTGCAAGTTTTTGTTGAGTTCTAATTCAGATTTTATATAAAACATTTATTTAAACTTAAATTAAGTCAAAAATATGAAAATTCCTAAGTTATGAATGTATATTGACCAAATAAGAAATACAATTTCAATTAAACCTGATTGAATAGAAATCTCATTTCATGCAGCTCTCTCAATATATTTGAACTCCTTGCTCCCCCATGAAAACACGCTGCCCCCCTCCTGGCCCTCTGGGACATTTGGTCTAGAACCGCCACTGGACTGAAACGATTTTCCACTTTGACTTTTATCTTCTTTTTCATAACAGATGTTAGGGCTTATTAATAAAAAATATTAATAAGCATATGACATGAATTATCGAAATGTATTCATCTATTCTTTGCACCCTGAATGTAGAGTAAACTGCATTTCTGCAGCCTTATTTCTACACGCACGCACAAAGCGCTGCTTGCAGATCACGTGATTTATAGGAATCAGCCTTGCAGAAGAGAAAATGAAAGCAACAGTATTTTTTTTTTTTTCCCCTTTACAGCTCCGCCTTAAAACCAATGTAGCTCCTCGGTGTGAAGCCACTGCACCCTTTCATTGCTTAGGAAAAGCTGGATCCCTCTGCTGTCATTCACTGTAAGTCACTCAGAAACTTTCCTTCTTCCTTAGTTTTATACAAACTCTTTCAAATGTGTGTTTTTAATTTCAGTCAGACCTGTTTGTATTGGACTTGTCAAGTGTCGACAGTGTTAAATGTGAAAGTAAAGTAAAATTAAAGTTTGTAGATAAATTATTATTCCTAATTAATTAAAAGCTGAACCAAACTGCTGTAAATGTTTCCAACTCCGCCCAAAGTCTTTATCCCACAGCACTTTAACGCCTCATTTAATTTGTATAACAACATAAAAATATGTCCCATTACCCGCAACAAGGAGACGCGCAAATTAACATTTATATAACTTCTTCATTTTATCATGTGTTTACCTAAACCCCCAAATTTGAAGTTTTATAAAGCCAAGTCGTTTGGCACAAGAAAGGGTGTGACAGAGTTACTGTTAAAGAGATGAAGTGCAGATAAAGTCTGCAGCAATATAATTAAACAGCATGTAAATAAAACTGAAACCAAAGTTTTATAAGTCATAAAATCTAAAAAAGGAAACAAGAACTTTGAGTTTCTCCTCATGCAGAAACTAAAACAAATAGCTCGACAATTTGAATTTAGAGTAAAATAATGCTTTTTAATATTTGGAGACACTAAATAGCATTTGCAAATAATGTTTGTATTATAATGCTTGCAGGTCTATACCCCCTTCTCTATTATTTTGCATAACTAGCAGTGAGGTTCCCTCCCGTTCCACAGTTCTCCATATCACTTTCCTTTACTCTTCGTTTATTCTTAGATTTAATCATCACTAACATGCAGTATCCATGCTCCATCCCACCCCGGATGAATCGACTTTAAGACTTCTAGTCTGCCTTGTCTTGAAATGTTTTTAAACTTTAACATTAACCTAAATGAGGTTAAAAACATTGAATTAATTCACTTATTAATTTTCGATGCTTCAAGTAATAATAATAATAAACAGATCAGCCTTGTTTTGCAAAAAAAAATAATAATAAAAAATCCGAGGTGAATATAAAATCTTTCGGATCCTTTGTCTAAATGCTGCTGCCAGTCTTTTAAGTGGAAAACACATGAGCAAATCTCTCACATCCTGTTCTTGTTTCGTCGGCTTCGTGTGCATCACTTACTGCACATCCAAATCCTGATGTTTACTTATTTATAACGTGATGCTTTTGCTCTTCAATAGTGACTGTATCTGAATTTCCTCCAGCCTCATCTTACCTGACAGCCACATAGATCAGCTGACCATTTTTATTTTAATGGTCCCAAAAACTTGATGCAAACTGAGAACACTGGGTTCTTTCCATTTTCCCTTTTTCTTGCAGATGTCTTTCCGTCCTGCTATCATCTTTCACTTCAGTCCACAGTGTTAATTCATGTGCGCTTTTAAAACATCTGTTTTCTATTTGATTAATGCTTGTTTTATATCTTTTCTCTTTTTCTCATCTTGTCGATTTGTATAGTATTTCTGTCAAACTGGCCATTTAAACGCGCTTCATAGATAAATTAGATTATTTTGTGAAAAGGTTTTTGGGACTTTCATTAATCATTAAATTAAAACTCTGTTACAATTTCCTGGAAATGTGGATGATGTATTTGTGGAAATGATCACTTCTGGTTTTTATTAAACAGAAAATAATGACATTTTGGTGCCCAAAATAAATCCACAGGTTTTCATTTAGTCTTAGGTTTTTTTTTTTTTTTTTTTTTTTTTTTTTGTTCTTGTCCTGTATGAAAGCGAAAGCATTCTTCTGTGATTAAAGGCAGCAGCCGCCTTTCCTCTGTGACATATGTCACAGAGGTGACATATGTCACAGAGATACAATCTTTAAATTATATCACTAATACAGACAGACAGGGATTGAAAGAGGTTATTGTTTTTACTGTCTCTATTGGAAATGCTTCAGTCAGGTTTATCCTGTCCAGAATCAATTTCCAGTTATCTTTCACATCTGAGCTGCCTGCTCTACTTAAGCGGGCGATTTGACCCCAACTTTAACTATCATAGATGTAAGCAGTGGCTTCCTTTTAAAGAAACTTAAATATAAAATCACTTTATCCCTTTTTCATTGCAGGAACCTTTAGCTAGTCTCGGTCACAATTTTACCCGAGTTATTTTCCTTTCCCAAATCCACCTATTCCAGGATAATCTGCCCTGGTCTGTTATATGATTGTTCATATCAATCCTGAACTGTCCAAGGGCAGGGTTATGATTGTGGATCGCTGGGCTTCAGATACAACGTGGTATGACACTTAAAAAATATATTATATATTTTTTTTTTAACTGGCTTTTGGAAAAAAAAATGGTCAGATATGGATTTTTCAGACAGGCTATGCTTATTAGGTATTTGGTTTCTTATTACCACCGGCCGCATGACCAGAGTTTGTTTTTTTCTTTTTTTCATAACTTCCCCGTACGTCATTAGGCCGATTTTAAAGGAAGTATCCACAGCCTTTTTAGAGTAGTGGAAACAGAAAATAAATGACTTGGGATTCCTTTTACCTGGGAAAAAATAAAATAAAATCCCATGCATGCATTTTTAGAGGAAAAGGGACTTTAGTTACTGTTAGAATTAGGGCTGAACGATTTTGCCACAAATTTTTCAACCAATGTCGCAATTGCAATTTTACTTACATTTTCCTTTGCACTAACCAAAAGCTCTAAATGCTATAAGAAAAAGGAGGAAAATGGGCTGCAGGTTTTTGTTGATGGATGCTTTGATGGTAGCTTTGTCTCTATAGAAATGTAAGTAATTAGTCATTTCTTGATAATCATTGTTACAGCTCAAAACCACTTCATCTGACCTTTTTAAAAGTCTTTCTTTTGGTTGATGTATTTTTTGGCACAAACAACTTGTGGCATGTTAAGCTTTGATGCGTGTTGTCTAAAAAAAGGGGTGGGAAGAAATTTTACTGATCAATTTTTGAGCCAATCGGAAAACAGTTGTTCAATGATTCCGTTGTCACCATTTATTTTCTCTGCTACATGATGATTTTAAAGTAAAATAGTTATTATAGTGTAGTTTGTGAAGCCTAATATTATCTTTATCATAATATTACCAAGGGTTGTCTAAATTACAATTCTTAAAGCATTTTTTTATCCTTTGTTTTTTTTTTTTTGTCATTGGATGTTGCTGATCTCCATCATACACATCTGCTGTAAACAGTAGATAAATTATATATATTTTTAAAAAGTTTGGATTGTTGAAACAAACCAAAACCAAAACTGAGGTAGAATAAGCACCAAGCAACATGAAAAACAGGAATGACTTTGTTTAAATAAGCAGTGATTTGTGGTCACATCTTGTTCCTGCAAGTTCCTAACAGATAAATTTGTTTTTACAATAAGATCTGGCTGCAGGGATTATCTGTGTTTATCTCTCTTTGTTGCAGCTCACTCATCTTTCCGTGGCGGATGACAGAATACATCCATACTCTACCTTCCTATGAGATCTGTGTGGTCCTTGTGGTAAATCTTAATTTAAAGTGAAGCTTCATGGAGCCTCGGAGAGGAGCTGGCTGCAGATGACCGATCAGAAAAGAGCTGATGATGGAGACCCTGCCTGTGGAAAGAGAAGAAAGTGGTGCAGCAGGCAGTCGGGAAGAGGATTCTCCATTCTAGGATGGTCAGAGACAGTCTGGACAGAACATCTGATCAGAACCAGAAACAGGAGCCGGCAGCTGAGACACAGAGCCAGGGTCAGAACTCGGAGTCGTCCGATCTGCCTCAACAAACAGCAAAAGCGGTTCATGCTGGAGACGAGGACCCTGCAGGATCAAAGCTAGATTTTCTGCTCTGGTGCAAGCTCAGATTTGAGGAGGAGCCTGAATCCTGGAGCCTGGTCAGTTTCCACTCTTGGTTTGCTTTCTGTAAATTAATTACAGCCTTTTATTACTTGTGGGAGTTCATTTCAAAACATTAAACAGATGATAAACATGAGATAAAGAACGAAATCTTAGCGCAGGAGTTTGATTACTGTCTGTAAAACTAGTAAGACCAACAATAAAACCCATAAAAAGTGAAAGCAAAAGAAGGGAAGCATTTGTTTTGCAGGCATAACATCCATCTAAACATATCTCCCGGCGCCTGAGGAATAACATTCAAATATTTATTCTCAATATTAAACATTATATTGTCATATTCTGTTACCAACAAATTTGCAAGGATTTTTCAACATTTATTCTTTATTACCTTTTCCAACAGACAAAAATATGGACTTTTTGAAGGATTGCTTCAAAGACTAACTGCTTTTTAGATCCAGATATTCCCTAGTATATTCAAAGTAAAATTATTTCCGCACATCCATTCTAAACCTCTACAGAATAATACCCTTTATATTTCTGTTAGTTTTAATAATTATGCCATACACCAACACACACAAAACAAAAACTTTTCTCAGAAAAAAATAGATATTGCATAAGACCAATAAAACAGTATGATTAATACAGAAATTTAACTTTAATAGCTGCACAATCATAAGGACTACTGATGACTCACCGTTGTCCAGTGGACACTTATTAATGGTTAAACCAGTGCTAAGCAAGCAGAATGACGACAGGCTGCGTATTGATGGGAAACTCAGAGGAAGGAAAAAGTGTTGTAGAAAAATTAAAAAAGGAAACCTGCAGCTCCCAGCTCCTCTGCATTGTTGGATTTAATTTTTCTTCCCTTACTGTCCTCCTTCAAGCTCGCCATCCAGGCTAGCGGGGAAACACCACGGCTGTTGTTGTTCCTGTTGTTTCTACCGCACTTTTTCCTTCCACTAAATTTCCCGGTTTGAAGTAGAGGGGAGCAATGATTGTTGGATAATTGTTATGTCAGCAATCTCTCTTTGATTGTGCTGTGACATTTTTGTAAATTTAATGTAATATTTCCTTTTTTTAATAGAACTGAATCAATGTTCAATAGCTGTAAGCCTTGATTGTTAAAATTAACTACATAAACACTACATATGTCGCTCAGTGTTCAATAAACCTTAATATAAAGATACATATTCTAAATTAATTAGTAAGGTTATTGACATTTTGTCTTTATTAAGATACAGCTTTATGTAGAAACATTGTTTAGTTGACATTTTAATTTATCTGAATGTAAATACATATCTAGTGTTAGAAAAAGCTTGTAATTTAAATTATAAGAAAAGACACAAAAGAGTAATTTTGTGCTGGAAATCTTTTTCTTTTTTTTTCTTCTGCACAACATGCAATTTTTTCTCTCATCCTTTTTATAAAATGGATGAAGACCGCCTGTAAAGTCCACACTTTTTGACACATGAATCCTAATATAGGAAATTCATATTAGATCCTAAATTATCGTCTCATTATTCATGAGTTTCACAGCTATGCTGAAAATGAACCTCAGCTGCTAAATGAACACAGCAGACTGGCTGTTCCCTGAGAAGAAAAAGAAAAATACTGAAAGATCACTTTTAATTTGTGATTCAATCTACAAAAAACATTTCATACGAATCTAGAAAGAATGATTTAACAGGAGCAACGCTTTATGCTGCAGCTCCTGCTTTTGTTTTTGTCTGTTTTTGTGGGAAAGTCTGTCTGTTCAAACCGTTCCAATGTTTACTGGAAGCGGACTTTGAAGCTAATCGCAGAGATCTATTAACCTTTTAGACTGTGTCGAATATTTTGTTGATAATGGAATTTTTTTTATTGTCAGCAGTGGTTTAAAGTCTCTCAAAACAAACTGAACTATAAAAGTTGAATGAATTCTTGTACTTTGGCTGGAAACTGAAAGTAGCAATTAAATCCAGTGTTTCTCCAACAGCTTTCTGTTAATGTTTAAAAGTTGATCAGCAGTTGGAAAGAATCCAGGATTCCCAAATGCTCCTCTTGTTCTCACGAAAGGAAGCTGATATGTAAGGGTCAGAAGTAGAAACTAAATGGAACGATGATATCTTTCTAATATCTACCAACGTTTCCGCTTACATTTAAGGTTTCACATCAGCAGATAGGATACTTAATAAGTTGGATCTTCGAGCTTACACGTAGAACTCAACACTTTAATTATTTAGATCATTAGATAGACAATGATAATCTGATAAACACAGTTTAATCCGTTAAATCCTAAATCAATAAATAATTGTCATAGGGCTGTGTAATTTTTTTATTTTTTTATAATTCAGCTTTGATTGTCATTAATTCCTAAAGATTGATTCATAAAAGCAAAGATTGATTTTAAGTGCCATTACAACATTGCTATAACTATAAGGTCATGTCATTCATGTTACAATAAAAAAAAAAAATCTATATTTTTTACAGATCTCAATCTTTAGAACTGGAATTGACTCGATTCTTGAATTGACACCGAGCACTAGATTGTTAGAAAACACTAGAGTTGTCAATTAACATTCTGACAAATAAAAAAAAAAAAAAAACTTTTGAATAAGATAAATTATTATTATTTTTTTTTTTTATAAAAAAGAAAAAAAAAGAATAAGTTAAATTAGATAAGTTATTGGTATCATTTTACATCTCTCTGATTGCATAAGTCATGATTTTCAAAAATATCACACTGATAATGTCTAAACAGATTTTCATATCATATATCATATATGATAAACTTAAAGGGTTAGATAAATCCCAAATATCGTTTTAATGATTATGTAATTCTTTGTTTAGGGTAAAAAGCTAAAAATCAATACCATACCAGCCCTTTTTGAATGTGATTGGCCACACATCCTTGTTAAACCAATTAACAATCATCAACCTTATTAATGGTTAACTTTCAGCAGCCAAACCAAAACTCAGAGTATGGCAAGAACTTTAATAGAACCCCTCTGACAACATGAATTAGGGTAAAAAGCCTGATAAAGCAAAACATTACGACCTGCTCTGAAGAGATTTGTGATCTTAGTGTGTGGAAGTTAGCCATTTTTAAGGCTTTAAATCAATCACTGTTAGAGTCATTATCTACACATGGCGAAAACGGAGAACAGTGGGGGAACTTTCCAAGGAGAAACTAGCCACACAAAAAAAATAACTCTAAGAGCACATCCAAGAACTAGATCAACATATAAAGCACTGCAGGCCGGACAGGTCTCAGCTTTAAGAAAACAGACGAAGATGCCAAAATGGCATTCCAGACCAGAACCACAAAGAACTCAAAGGACTCTCTCAGATTAATCAAGAACATATCTAGATGATCCACAAAGCATTTGGGGAAAGTCTATTGTTGACAGCCGAGACAAATAGGAACTTTTCGAAAGGTCTGCAACTTGTTCTAGTGAAAAAAGGGAACAAAGGCACATACCGCCTGCATAGGTTAATTATTTCAACTAGACATCTGATACTTCAATATGAAATAAACGTCAGGCTCTGAGTCTTTTTTTAAAGCTTTGTTGTCTGATTGTTTGGCTGAAAGCTCCTGAGCAGCAGAACAACCCGCTGAGTGTTTCAGTGTTTGCTGCGAAGTTTTTAAAGTTGGCAACAATATGGGGATTTCCAGGCTCAACGCATAATTAACTCTCCAGATTTTAGCTATTGTTAAAAAAATATAAATTTCCTTCTGACCTTCTGGCATTAAACCAGATACACTATATTGCCAAAAGTATTTGCTCACCCATCCAAATTATTGGAATCAGGTGTTCCAATCACTTCCATGGCCACAGGTGTATAAATTCAAGCACCTAGGCATGCAGACTGTTTTTACAAACATTTGTGAAAGAATGGGTCGCTCTCAGGAGCTCAGTGAATTCCAGCGTGGAACTGTGATAGGATGCCACCTGTGCAACAAATCCAGTCGTGAAATTTCCTCGCTCCTAAATATTCCACAGTCAACTGTCAGCTGTATTATAAGAAAATGGAAGTGTTTGGGAACGACAGCAACTCAGCCACGAAGTGGTAGGCCACGTAAACTGACGGAGCGGGGTCAGCGGATGCTGACGCGCATAGTGCGAAGAGGTCGCCAACTTTCTGCAGAGTCAATCACTACAGACCTCCAAACTTCATGTGGCCTTCAGATTAGCTCAAGAACAGTGCGCAGAGAGCTTCATGGAATGGGTTTCCATGGTCGAGCAGCTGCATCCAAGCCATACATCACCAAGTGCAATGCAAAGCGTCGGATGCGGTGGTGTAAAGCACGCCGCCACTGGACTCTAGAGCAGTGGAGACGCGTTCTCTGGAGTGACGAATCGCGCTTCTCCATCTGGCAATCTGATGGACGGGTCTGGGTTTGGCGGTTGCCAGGAGAACGGTACTTGTCTGACTGCATTGTGCCAAGTGTAAAGTTTGGTGGAGGGGGGATTATGGTGTGGGGTTGTTTTTCAGGAGCTGGGCTTGGCCCCTTAGTTCCAGTGAAAGGAACTCTGAATGCTTCAGCATACCAAGACATTTTGGACAATTCCATGCTCCCAACTTTGTGGGAACAGTTTGGAGCTGGCCCCTTCCTCTTCCAACATGACTGTGCACCAGTGCACAAAGCAAGGTCCATAAAGACATGGATGACAGAGTCTGGTGTGGATGAACTTGACTGGCCTGCACAGAGTCCTGACCTCAACCCGATAGAACACCTTTGGGATGAATTAGAGCGGAGACTGAGAGCCAGGCCTTCTCGTCCAACATCAGTGTGCGACCTCACAAATGCGCTTCTGGAAGAATGGTCAAAAATTCCCATAAACACACTCCTAAACCTTGTGGACAGCCGTCCCAGAAGAGTTGAAGCTGTTCTAGCTGCAAAGGGTGGACCGATGTCATATTGAACCCTATGGATTAGGAACGGGGTGTCACTTAAGCTCATATGTGAGTCAAGGCAGGTGAGCAAATACTTTTGGCAATATAGTGTATCTGTGGGGTTCTTTATCAATCTCTGTTGTGGCCCTCTGCCAAAATACCCCATGACTTCCCTGTTTAGGAGAAATTATCCCAGGAGTCACTGCATGGGGGCAGTGAAAGACTGGAACCGTTTACAGTTCTCTAGCAGCTTAGAGGGACTCAGACATGCAACTGGATGTAGGTCAGGGTTTAGCTGCCAGCAGGTCACATTCTGGAAGAATCATAAATCAGATTTAGATCCTGGAGTTGGAGAACAACATTGTTCAGTTATTCCATACATTCATCTATGCATACGTACATGACCTTTTCATCAAAGTGGTAAAAAAAAAAATCTTTAAAAAAAAAGATATACAAAATACTTTAAAAGATATATAGCTGCTTATCTGAAATAAATGTTTTCTTTTGAAAACCATCTTAGTTTTCCCGACTTGTACTTTTTTTTTTTCTGTTTTAGTTATGCAAACTTACCGTTCCCCTGTTATATTAAAGGGAAGTCACAGGCAGAGGGAAGTCTAAGCTGAGTCCCTGATTTCCTGTTAATTCACTACCAGGAAACCTTTACATCTTTTTCCTTTGTGTTTTCATGCTGTAGCCAGAGACTGAAGCCGACCCTGAGAGCTTGCCCACACACCTCCGTCCATTCACCAGCTCGGCAGAATATCAGCTGGTAAGACTCACCTTTCTGCAGCTGCAGCAGAGCGGTTACTACTGGGGGCCGATGACCATGGAGGAGGCACACCAAAGGCTGGGCAACGCATCGCTGGGAACCTTCCTCATTAGGTACCTTAGCACCACTTTTTCCTCTTAATCCTGGTTTAAACATGTTTTGTTTCTTCTGTTGATTTTTAGTTCAATCAGTGAGAGAGAAATCATAAGCAGCTATCCAGGAAAATAGAGTAGTAGATAAAGAACCAACATGCTTTCTTTGAGTTTGGTTCTTTATTTAATTCAAGTAAGATATTGCACAAGTATTTTGATCTGTTTAAGACCTTTTAACAACTGAAGCTGATTAGAATTTGGTGATTTCTGTCACAGAAAAAAAGCCTGTAACTACAGAAACATTGATGCAGCAGGAAGAGATTATCATTATGATAAATATTAATATGACAGGTAAACCGTTTCTATATATGAGGATTTTCCTTATATTGGAAAAGGGGGAGTCTCAAAGCTAAAGGTAGATAGAGGAGAGACTTTTTTGACTTTTTCTTATCTTTAAGATACACAGATCTTGTTTTTAAGCTCATTTTTATGTTATAATTTAGTAGAAATTTTTGTCTAAATATGCCAGATTTTTAAGATAAAGAAATAAGTTTCTCAGAGGCAGCGCTTGATTAAACAGCTTTTGCCTCCTTTACTGAATATGTAAAACCCTAATGCTGCAGCTGTCTCTGTAAAAATAAATAGGAATCTCTGTTTTTCCTCTTTATAAAACAAGCTTTCATCTCTTTGGATTCTTAATTTTTTTTCACTCACATTAACAACAATAACACATAGGAGAACACTGCAAAAAGTGTTTTGTCGAGAACCAAGTCAGGGCAGACCCTGAAATGATCTCAGCAATGCTCAGAATGAGCTGAATAGTGTCCTCAGAGAGATGGATGTTTTAGATAATAAGGAGGTAATAAGTTCTAACAGAAACAATAAACTGCACTATTATACAGATTGATGGGACAGTCCTGTTTGCTGTTTTTTTTTTCCTCAGGGACAGTGGCCAGCCGGATGTTTTCTTCACTCTGAGCTACCAAAGCGAGGATGGCCCCACCAGCGTCCGCATCCATCTGAACAACCTGCTCTTCAGTCTACACGGCAGCCAAAAGACTTTCGCGTCGCTCTTCGCTCTGCTCACCTATTACACCAGCTCGCCCTGCAAGCTGACAAAGCCTTACCGCAAGCAGCGGCCCGAGCGCCTAAAGCAGATGTGCAGGAGGGCTCTCGTACGAACGCACGGTGTCGAAAATATACGCACCTTACACGGACTCAGCCCTGATGTTAAAGCATATGTCTATGCATATCCATACTGTACATAGAAATACTTGTGGATATATTGCCTTTTGCTGGACTTACATGTTTTTTTATTAAGTTAAAAATTGTGCTTTTACAAAAGAAATGCTGGAAACATTTTGGTACAACATTTAAATACCACATAGACTGAATATATTTTATGGAGATATACTTTCTTTTGTAGGTTTATAGAGCACAGATTCAGAGTTAACAAGATTATTTTTGGTACTAAAATTGAAGTTGAAAGGAAGCAAGACAAAGATAAATTATTTCTGACCCTTATTCAATTTTAATTTGATAAACACGCTGAGAAATGCAGTCGCCATCATTCAGTTTGCCTGTGGCTACTTCTAAAGTAAAGTTTAGCTGTTCCTGACCCTCCGCGCAAAAATTGGTTGAAAAGACCAATGATTTACATCCAAACAACATCTACATTTGGTTAAAAAGTGAAGGTTGAATATCCATAATTTGCAGTTTGTTGAAAAGACGTTGAAAACTGGGTTTGTGACATCTTTTCACAGTCTACTATTGGACTAAAGTGGGACAAAATCAGACCGACCACAAACAGCCTAATTTCCAGCCACTGTTTCTAGAATAATATTAAGACAATGATGCACCGACCTGATTAAGCCTAAAGAATTCCCTCTGGTCTGCTGAGAGCTCCAAAGCATCAGATGAATTTCTGTGCCAAAACTTATCAGTCAGGGGCAAGGGGCGTAACAATTTCCAACTTTTTAGATGCATGACATTGAACGCAATGGAGTGTTAATTATCGAGAACAGGAGAAAGTGAAGAAAAGTAACACAGAGAACTAGATATCCTTTCAGAATATATAAATAGAAGGAATAAACACTGGATAGGATGGCTGCTAAGAAGCTAACAGTAACATTAATAACATGTCATCGTTTCTGGCAAGTACTGGGGGTGGTGTAAGTAGATGTTAAAAATGGTAGTAGGCAGATACCTAGGCTTCCAATTACTCCCCCCCCCCCCCCCAAAAAAAACAAAACCCAAATCCAGAAAACATCTGTGGAAGCCTATTTAAAGTCGCAACTAGGCTTCTGGGAAGCATGGTGGGGGCAGTACCATCATTTGGGATTCATCTTATGCAGCTGTAGCCTTGTTTTTAAGGTGACAAGAAGTTAAATTCCAAATACCTTTTGGTGAATCTGACTTCAGGATACAATTAAAACTGATTTTTTTTTTTTTTCATTCTACAGATGAAATTAAAATACCTCAAACACAAATAGGAACATTGTCTTTCAACATGATAGTGACACAAAGCATAAACCCAAACTAACATGGCTTCACCAGAACGACCACAATCTAAGGGCATGGTCAAAATCCATCAAATTTGGGACATTTTTGCAAGGCATAGTGAGAAATGATCATCAAGCCAAGATGTGTCACGCTGATGTGTCAACACAATAGGAAACAGAAACTATAGTATCATTAGGAAGTCGCTCCCATTTATGCAACAATATTATTTTAGATTTTTTAAAAGCTTCACGTTTTGCCCTTTAATGATTTTGGTTTAATTATTACAGTAGAAATTTAAAGCTTTTAGTTTAGATTTAGGATGGAAAAGGTTCTAAAAGCAAGTGCAATAGCTTTTATCTAACATTAAACAACCAGATATAATAACAAGTGGTGTTAAAAATTAGAGCTACTTTACACATTATAAAAATGTTGAATTCTTTTAGAAAGCAAAAAGTTAAATTCAAACGATTACATTGGGAAAAAGCAAATTTTAAGATTTAAAGGAGTTTTTGGTTGGTCGGGGTTCAGAGGCGTTCTTGTAAACTAAAGGGTGGGGGGGGGGGTAGCCATTGCTGCAGGAGTTTATTAGACTGATAATCTTTGATTTCTGAACATAAGTGTAATCAGTACTATGTTAAACGTTTTTATTTCAGAACAAGTAATAAATAATCTGAGCACCACATGCCGAATGACATGGTTGTCATGGTAAAAACAGTTGCTGTGCGACTAATGTTACAAAGTAAGGACTTCATATCTTGCAATCTGTCACATCTAATGCAGCGTTGAAACATGCATTAGTAGATGTGGATGCCTCATTTGAGATTGTTTTCTGTGGTTTTATTTTCCTATGTGCTTCTGTTTATCATTCAGTGTTGAGTTGTTTTATCCTGTGTTTACTTATTAAGTATTCATTGTTCGTTATTTCGCGGGCACATATCAAACTTTTATTGTGCATTGATCCCAAGAACACACATTGGTCCTTCTGTTTGGAGTCATTGGATTTTTTTTCACTCATTTATGCAATTTGAAAATTTGACTCTCGACCACTGAAGCGGTTGTCCATGTTATTGTGTTTGTATGAATAGGAATGCATATTAATGCATTGATACAGCCGCCCTAGTTCATGTGTTTGTTTGTTTTTTGTGAAAAAAACTTGCACTGTTAAATTAAAATAACATTTGTTTCTTGACAATTCTTGATAAGTTTCCATAAATATTTATTTTAGGTCATGCTAGTTTTAATTTCTGTGTTAATGTGTCCCTCTGCCTCTCAGACAGCCAGGCAAATAAAACAGGTAGACATACAGAAGCTTAAAAAATTCATCTGGTTTTTACCTTTACATAGTTTTTGTCTAACAAATAAATGTGTGTTTGATCTGAATGGGAATGATATGACCCAGCTACTTTTAGTATAGAAGTAGGCAAGGTGAGATTATTTTGTGCAGTATGGTATTTCACAGGACAACAAATGTACAGTAAAAAATGCTTTAAACGATAAGAAACAGGGGAAGTGGCGACTTAGTGGTTAGATCTGGGCACTTGCAACTGCAAATGCAGCAATCTCCCTTCTTCAAATTACAGACTACCACTATGGACCATGAGCAACACCCCTAAAACGAACCCTGGGCTCTGCACAGTGGCTGCCCACTACTCCTCAGGGGATGAGTTAAATGCAGAGAACAACTTTGTTTGGAATGTAAATTACTGCAATAACTGATGATGATGAAGATGAAATGTGAGAAAAGAAGCATTCTGCTTTCTGTGAAATGTTAATTTGGAGGGAAGTATAACTTTACCATAAACAAAGTTCTGCAGACTTCATTTCCAAACCGGTTGGAGCCAATCTGGTCTAAACGGGAATGAATCCCCCTTTCCTTTAGATCCAGAACTGGAATCAGGTTTCATGTCACAAATAGGATCAAATGACACTGACAGAAGCCACTGACCTCAATTTACTTCAATGTTCTGGGTGGGGTTTTTTTTTTGGCAAAAACTGTAGCTGCAGATTTATTGGACTTTCCTATGAATTTTTTCCTTTTGTTTGCATTTCCCATTGCTGAAGCCAAATACTTCAGGGAGCCTTTAGTGGCATTTGATATGACAAACAATGAAGGCAGAAAATTAATAAGAAAAGGCCACAAATGTGCATTAACCCATAGATCATTTGAAAATAGAAAGATTGTGTCAGACAGAGATGGGAAGTAACGAAGTACAAATACTTCGTTACTGTACTCAAGTAGATTTTTCTGATATTTTTACTTTACTTTACTACTTATTTTTATGGAGACTTTTTACTTCTACTCCTTACATTTTTACACAAATATCTGTACTTTCTACTCCTTACATTTTAAAAAATTGGCTCGTTACTTTAGTTTTGAATCATTTCAATGGAATTACCGTTATTATTTTTCACGTCATCAATACCAAATTCAATCTAATTGGATGGGAATCTACGTTGCATTTGACGCACCACTACAAGATGAATCGACAGATTCGGCGGTATTCATTGGCGGCAAATCATTGCAGCTTGGTGGCGGTGGCGTTAGCATAGTAGCATGGACCACGAGATGATTGAAAATGAACACAACGGAGATCTAGTCCTATTGGCAGACATCCATTTAAAATGAAGGCAACGGCATGAAAAAAGTGGTTTCTACTTTTACTTTTATACTTTAAGTAAATTTACAAGCCTGTACTTTGTTACTTTTACTTGAGTAAAGAAGTTTAATCAGTACTTCCACTTTTACCAAAGTATTTTTTAACACAAGTATCTGTACTTTTACTCAAGTACGGAAAATGAGTACTTTTGCCACCTCTGGTGTCAGAACTGTAAAGATGTTTTTCCTTGATGGAAAACCTTACCTTGATGGTTTCCATTCAAAATGTGGTGAAAAACTAACAATGCCTCTTGGTTTTGTGAAGAAAAGGGGTGGGAGCATCATGCTGTGGGAAATGCCTTATTATTTACCTTTTCTCAAAAGGAATAAATGTTGAATGGGATGATAAAAAAAAGAATGGAGCTAAATCCAGGACAATCCTGGAAGAAAATGTGTTACGGGCTGCAAAAAAATATCAGATATCAGAGCTGGGGTTCATGCTAAAGCTGGACAGTAACTTCTAAATACAGCCTGATCTTAAACTGTGTGCTTCAGGTCAAAGTATATTCAGGTGTTAGGGTGGACTAACCGAAGATCAGACTGAAATAGAACTTGTAATCCGTAGAAAGAAATGATAGTAGTTATAATAGACATACAATTTGACCTAGCTTGTGTGATTGTGTTATCTGCGACTTTAAATCCATATTTGTTGGGATCTGGAGGTCTGTCCACTTTCTCCACCAGAGGGCGTACGAGATCTCCTTGAGCCGGGGCTGATTGCACCACCTGTTCCTCATCTGCTCATCAGGAGATCCGTACTTAAGGAGGCGGAGGGCTTCACTCCAGTGCCAGAGTGTTTGCCAGTAACGGTTAGCAAGCCTGAGCCAACCAGCCTGTCTGTAACTCTGACCCCCTGAGATCCGAACCTGATCTGTTTTCTCTCCTCTCTGCTCCTCAGATTGAACCTGCCTGAAACGAGAAACTCTGGAGAGTTTCTCTGCTGGTAATCAGCCTGTCCGTTCTCAGAAGTTCTCTGGAGAACAGTTCCTGTCAAAGATCTGCCTGCCCGCTCTCAGAAGATAACCGGAAACTCAATCAGTGATCTGCCTGCACTCAGTAAGCTCTGCCTCCGCCTCTGCTCTCTGCCTGCCGTCAGCCTCTGGACCCTCAAGGTTCCCCCCCTCTGCAGCTCTGCTCCACTCAAGAACAGGTACAGCCCTGACACACTCTCAACCTGCAATATTCCCTGGACCTCCGCTAAACTTCTCTGTCCTCCCCTGCAGTGAACCCACTTGTGACCAGTCAACCACTTCCTGGATCTGAATAACCTGTGTGCTTTACATAACTCTCCCATGACCAGTCAAGCCTCTAACTGAACCTGATCCATTGTTGCACATTTATTGTTCAATAAACTTTTTGAACTTTTTCTTCTGCCTCCGAGTGTTCTGCATGTGGGTTAGGCAAAGTAAGCCGAACATGACAATATTGGATTACAGATGGTGTCAGAGTAAAGGATGCTAAATATAAACACACTATACTTTTCTCTTTTGGGGTTTTATCTTTAATATGATGCTAAATGTCCATTTGCAAATAATCCTTATCTATGCTTACTTAGATATATACCGGTAGCTAAAAAAAAAAAAACATGAAATCCAGTTGAAAGTTCGAAGTACCTTTTGAAGGCGTGGATGTGTGTTTTCTGTAAATCTTGGATGTAGAACTCAAGTCTGTTCTAGTAGGAACAATTAATAAACTTCATTGACAGTGTATATCTATGTCTGTGCAGCCAGGTTCTTATCAGATTATTTGTTATCTTGTGTGGGGGACCCTGTGCTCTCATTACTGGGTTAATCCTGCCCTGCATTAAGCTGACTGCCAACTAGAGGCTTTTTGCGCTTTATATCAGACATCCTTTTGGCTTTGATTCAGCTCTCTGCTGTCAACACGCGCTGTGCAGCTTGTACTCTTTTCAAAAAAGAAATCAAGTTTTCAGGCATCTGTTCCATATCCTGTTCTAATTCTGAGTGTAAATGGCCCCTTTAGACTTAAATTAGCACAGAGAATACACACACTTTTCAGGTCCTCAATTTATCTTTCTCATTAACCTTATCTAGTGGATATAACCCCCTGACACAG